TCAACTAATAAAATACAAGAAGGTTCTGCACGAGCTCGAGGTGCGCCGCGTCTCCCTTACGGATTGGGTTGATGAGAAATTTTCGAACTAAACTTCTTTGTGATCACCAAAATCAGAGGCAGTTGTTTCCAAAAAGTGGGGACAAGTCTCCGAGATAACGTCTAGTTTACAACAAACTTTCTTCCGAAGGTGTGGTAGTTTGTAACGGAGGAACATCCAAAAGTGCAGCTCCATTGGAGTTCATCTTCCACAAATGTTAAAATTAACCGAAGACTTGCAAAAGACTTTAGTGAGGTACGGTATGTTGTTCTGGATTTACGAGAATTTGACCAATGATTGTTTGCTCTTCGATGAAGCTGGGCTCCCCAATACGCGCTCAAATCGACCAAAGCCATCCTGGTCGCTCACTTCCTGGGCCGCTGGAGCAAGGAACTGTGACCTTCTTCCTCTTAGGCCGTTAACCCGATGGACTCCTCTATAAAAAGATGTTGTAGTGCGAGAATTCGTGAGACTTTTCCAGCTCGGTGGGTGCTCTGAAGTTAGCTCTCCAAAAGAGAACGAAATAGCGGTTGGCTGCCTGCTGCGCACTGCTGATTTTGTCGTTGGACCTCAGAACGCCTCTCTCAAAGCAGAATAGTCAAGTTCGAAGCACCTTCTGCATAAGTGATCAAATAGCTTAGCTCTATCTTTCTGTGAGGTCGGTTTCCTTATCGAGTCTTTTTCTTAGCTTTTACACACAAAAACATGGCGTCCTATACTTTTCGGCCACCCTTATATAGTGTGCTTTCCGCATTTTTCCTAATGTAGAAGCGCAACAGGTTACTTAGTTCTCCGGTTCCGTCAACTCTCTCCAGTTCCACTCCAGCAATTCCAGTTCTCTTCAACTCTCCCTTCAAAGTTCTTTGCAACTTTACTTCACAGTACCTTGCTATCAATTCTCGTCTACATTTAGTCTTAAATGAAGCTTATCACCCACTTTAGAAGCACTTTTAAGCACGACACTTAAGATATAATCGTACAGCTTGCCCCACTTTCCGCACAGGTCTCGCACCCTCTCAGGAATGTGGTCCCCATCATAGGGACTTTGGACATGTGGCACAAAGTAAAAATCATATCTATACGCTACATTTCTTAACAGTGTACTGTAAGATTCGCGCTAGGCTTCTCCCCGTTCACTCGCCGTTACTACGGGAATCCTTGTTGGTTTCTTTTCCTTCGCTAAATGATATGCTTGAGTTCAGTGGGTAATCACGCCTGAGTCTAGTTGCAATATAAATGATACATTGAACATAGAATACCATACATGTCCCTATTTGAATTAATCTCATATTCATTGAGTACACTCAAGTAGTGGTAATACATTCAGTACCATTCAGTAACATTAACATCGTTAACGCCATGTTGCATTTATTATTCTTGAACTGGAATGGGAACTATCACAATAAAGTAATAAACACCATTCGACAAACAGTATTATGTGTTAGCCACACTGTACTAGTTTCATTAACAACCCTGAACCAGACGTGCCGAAGGAAAAACCCAACGGCGCTATGGGTTCAAAATTTCACCACTCTAAGCGTCTGCAATTCGTGGTAAATAACGCAGCTAGCTGCGTTTTTCCTCGATACGCGAATTGAACGATCCACCACTGAAGCTAATCGATAATTGTGACACAAATATGTTACACATTTCTGCAGACTTTAAACACAGAAGGCTACGTTTAAAGTTTGCAGAAATGTGTACATGACGTCGGTTCGAGATCATTAAGGTTTCCTGACAGAAAGGTACCGTACATACACATGTACACCACCACGAGATCGAAAGATTAGATCTTAGATCGAAACCAGCATGCATGGTTTTTGCCACTTTGTCGTGGAACGTTGGGAGTGTCACCCCCGGTAGTGCTTTCGGTCAAATTGTGAACTATAACTACATTGTCAACAGTTTTTACCTCGCGGATTCGTCCTGGAACTGTTGCTTCAAGGACGGACTCCCTGGAAACTGTTTAGCCGTAGATAGGGACGTTGTTCCGTAAAGCATCGCGGTATTCTAGTGCAGTCTCGTGTTCTTTGGACGGCTCTTGAAAAACCAAGGAAGGCTATCAATCTGTACTGCGTCGTACCGATACGCATAAGGTCCGCGAGGTAAACAGCCTCTAGACGATAGAATAATGTAGGCAAGGGAATTAGGCAAATTAGATCTGTAACTTCGGGAAAAAGATTGGCTCCAGGGACTGGGTCAGTTGCCCTGTTAACTGATGCTTGTGCGGTTTCGTCCGTGGCTGGCTGATAATTACGCTGATGCTGGACTAGTTACAAGACTGCCTTGTGGACGTTTTCAGGTGTGGGCTTTGTCTTCGGGTTCAGTATCCTGACCGACCATCTAAACAATCGAACTGGATTGGTGCGGACTCGGAAAATCCGACTGCCTGATTCCCCCTTCCCGAAAGATGTAACGAAGGGTTACTGGAGCACAAATGAGATAGATAGACTGATGTCAATGGTCCTATACTACAAAAATCTCAATCCGGGCCGTGTACAATGGCATGACCTAGGCAAGGCCTGGGAAAGTCGCCGGTGTCCGGAATACCCCCACGAGAAGCAAAAAAGCATTGAAATGTACGTATGCGAGAACATCGAAGCAACACAGGGTGAGAGTGACAAGTGAATTATCAGCTGCACCACGAGCTCGCTCACACCAGAGTGAAACGGCTTCCGAACTGCAGCTGGGAGACAACACGGAACGCTCATCCACATTAGAGACGCTTTCGAACGCACATAACCAGCCTAATGCAGAACTCTCAAAGCTGATGTGAGCTAAATTCACTAATGCCTAACCGTGAGGGAGACCCCACTACAGGGGACGACCTTGTGGCCCATGAAGCTCACCCGACGAAGGGGAGTTCAATGCAATCGTTGAAGAAAGGTCCCAAAGTTAAACCATAGAAAGGATCTCCGAAGACGAAACACAAGATAATTCAATGGAAAGCGACAAAATGGAACGCCTCCAACAGCGAATGCTCTTTCGGTAACAAATTCTGCTGAGGAAGGGCCAACAGTCCAAGGGACCGCCTCGCAAGAGTGCACCCAAAGGGTGCGTATTGCTCCCCAAAGAGAGAGTCCAAAATAGGGCCTCTCCAAACATACAATCCAACAGGGTCACCAACCACTAGACACGCTACAAGAATTACCGAATCAAGAGATCCGACGACAGCGTAGGAAAGGTGCCTTTTGGACAACTTCTGAACTGGCGAGACTCAAAAGCTTGGTCGAGGAACATAGAGACGTGAGTGGTCATATCAATTGGGATTCCCTGAGAATCTCTTGGGACAACTCGCATGAAGAAAGTAACCCGGTCAGGAGTCTCGCAGCTCTGAAGTATGCAAAGGGAAAGCTTGCCAGACCATTGGAACGGGTACAAAGAAGAAGATCACCCCAAGACGTAATGCAAAACTTCGAAGAGGGAGAAAGTCGGCATTCTGCTTCGAACGAAGATGTTCAGCGAAACAAAATTGGTCCTATCCTAGACCTCAGATCAAGTAACATCCAGAAAACGCCTCGGAAACGAGCGAGTCACACAGGCTTTGCGAAATCTAATGAGAGAGAGATTTGACCGCTTACCGTATAGCGGTAAAATCGTACGATAGGCAACCGAGGCCCAACGGTGAGATATCGAAGGGGATTCTGCTACTCGGCAACGAAATCATCCGTGAAAAACTTAGTAGCAGAAACTCCACATCACGAAGATCGCTGACATCATCGAACGTGCAGTATACGCCATTGGTAAAACAATAACAACTATGGTGCTAGATGATGAAGTAGAAAAAGTGGTAAGATTTATCAAAAGCTCGGAGAAGTGAAAGCGACAAGAGTTTATCAAGGCAATCTCTTCGCTAAGGCATGAGCTTATTAGAAGAAATAGAAAACGAGGAGCGCCAAATAGGCAATTCCTGGGGCAAAACTCCAGTTCGGGGGCCACTCCATTTTTCTTCAATACTCAAAATAAGAATTAGTGGGCTCACGACACGTAATCGACTCATTTAAAGTAGACTTCTGATAAATAGTGGTGTAATGGGTGAGAAACCATGAAACATTTTCACATTTCCGCCTGCCATGATTCAAGGGAACGGTCCTGTACCAGGAGAAAGGACACCTCCGCGAAGGGCTAAGGGTGCAGGAGCTCCAGAGTGGATCACCTGTGCAGAAAAGTGGATGGGATGTGGGCAGGTAGTGTGGAATGTGGGACATCCACCGGTTCTTATCAAAAGTACGCTCGAAATTAGTCACGACGACCGCAGAGGTCCAGAGACTCTTAATTAGATACAAAGATGAGTTGAGCATTGCCAACTCTGAAATCAAAGCAATACAAGACTCCCTGATGAGAATTTGAGAGTGAAGGCGGGGATCTCTGCAATCGCAAGGGAAACACGTAGAGCGGAAGTCGATGTCCCAGTCGTGGAAGTGTGCCTGCACTGAAAATCGATCATGGGAGAACCGCAACCATTCCATCCTTTCGACGACCTCCACTCGTGGGCTCAAGAGCAAGAAAGGGAGCGCAACAAGCGGAGTACTGAGCTTTCTGAGGAAGTATAGGCGAATATATTGGCGGAAATGGAACTTTGGGAAGACAACCCCAATGGTATTCAGGGATTCTGGTGGAAGAAGCTGCCAGAAGCTAAAGAAAGGCTGAAAACGTGGTGTTCACAATCACTACTAAAGCCTCATAGAAACGTCCCAAAATGGCTATGCCGGGAATATCGTTCTGATCCCAAGAGGGAGTTCACAGGCCAGAGACCTAGGGGACTTCCGACCGATTGCATGTTTGAACACATGCTACAAAGTCCTAACTACGATGATTGCTCAGCAGATCCTATGAAGTGCTGACACCGTGCTCCCTCCGGAGCAGATAGTCTTACGGAAAGGTATTCGGGGTTGCACTCACGCGCATACGTTGGATCAGACGAATGTAAAGACGCAATAAGACGCAAAAAGGCATTGCACATGTTATGGGCCGATATGTCACGGATAGCAGCCTCGCCTCCTCGTAGGGGAGGGCACACCTCATCTCGGCAATATCCACTTGATTGCGCCGCGCGATACCGAATTGAAGCTTTGGTCATATCGGCCCATAACATGTGCAATGCCTTTCTGCGTCTCATTGCGTCTAGAGTGTAAGACATTGCGGATACCAACGGACGTAGTCAAAAGCAAACCACTGGATGTCAAAAGAGGAGTGATGCAAGGCGATACGCTTAGCACCCTCCTCTTTAGCATTTAGCATCTCGACAAAGCTGCGGAATACCGTCGGCCCGTACCGAACAGCGACGAAAGCGCTAACGCCTGGTAATGGACCTTTAGAGATCAGTCACCAATTCTATATGGATGAGCCAAAGGTCTGCATTTCTAGATGGGACAATATATCAGAAGCTAAGCAAGCAATAGAGGAAGTCGCTGGAGAACTAGGACTACAAACGAATCCTAGTAAGTGTGCGGCGACTTCAATATGCGCACTCCAGCAACTGACTGCAGTCATAGGGAAGCCATAGCAAAAGGAATGCTTACATTAGCAACCTGACGGTTCGTCAAAAGGTCAATGAGTATAATCAAGTGGTGGTACCGAAGTTAAATACGCATTCTCGTGCATAATATCAGGATCAGGAAAGTTCTGCACGGTGAGAAAACGAACGAGAGCATTCGACGAATCTATACGCAAAGTGCTGGCCGAAACAAAAATGAGATATGGGCACAGCTGCGTTGAGAGACTGAATGTAAACGAAAAAGATGGGGAATTCGTTCTCAAGACGCCCAAAGAAGAATTGGAACATACAGTTGTATACAACTGGTGTTACGTGGCCTTAAGACCAAAGCTCCAAATTCCCTATCAACTTTGTGGTAGAAACAGTAACAAGCGATCATTCGCATCCGACTTTTACTCTGTTCTACCAGAGAACATGTTGGAGAACGAAGTAACTCGTTTGCCTGAAGCAACCGCTCGTGCGAGCAACACAACATACATGACAGCCACTAGTGCTGCTCGGACGATTTAGACTCTCGCTCACGAACGCTGGGCTCGAACACGATTGCATGAATGGAAGCAAAGAGAAGTGGCGAGTAGAGTGATTGCAAATAAGGAGATAGGAAACATAGAACGTCTGGCTCAAGGATTCATTCTTGTGGCCACAGACAGTGTAAAATTGCTCCAAGGTACTGCAAAGTGTAGGGGCCGCACAAGAAGGCTCGCTACCAACGAAAGGGAGTGCGTCAGGCCATCGTCATGGCCGCATAGTAATCAGCAATGCAGACTGCACTGCACTGCTAAAGAAACAGCAGAACACATAGTATCTGCATGCAGCTACTGGCGTACTCATGGTCAAGTGGCATGATTTAATGATCACTAATACACACGACCCTCATGTGCTTGAGGGGAACGATGTGTTCGTTGGAATGACCGTATATTAACTACAGAATACATGAAACATCACAGACCCGATATTGTAGTCAAAGACTACAAAGACAGGAAAATGGATAATAGAAATAGCGGTGTCCTGGTACACCAGAATCGCCGAATAAGAACAAAAGAAAATCTGGAAATATGGAGTGAATAGGTGCCTTCCGCAAGTGACCGAGGTAGGCGACAATCACCCTGGGTCAAACCTAAAGGCTGACCAGCAAGCACAGCGTGGAATTACTGCTGAGGTGGTACCGGTCGTAATTGGAATTTGTGGTGAATGTTCGCCCAATTTGCGACAGTGCGTACAATTACTTGAGCTGCCAGACAGCACGAAAGTGATCATAGAAAGAATGCAAAGGCGTGTTGTGCTTGGTACTCACAGAACCATCAAATACCATCTGTCCAAAGATGCCAGGGGATGATTAAGAAACAAATGAGAAGTGCCCCCAATCGAACAACTATTGATGAACCGAGCAACTTGATTGCTGCGAAGGTTCCTCTATATACGGTATAAGTGTAAGCACTCTCAAGTAGTTAGACATCACTATCACTGCACAAGCTATGATGCAGTGCTGCAATCTACAGTGATAAACAAGCCCCTTGTATGCCACGGCACACTGTAAAGGCCAAAAATGAGAGCGGCTGCAAATAGGTAGTAATGCAACAGTTCCCATCTCATTCGTGCATTAAGGTGAATAACAACGCGAAAGAGTCGGTCCTTGACTAATCGGCGGCCATGGAGAATCCCGCGTTTCCACTAGGAAGCGGCAGGGAACGGCTCAGCGGGAGGGTTGCGGAGGGCAAACATAACAACCTGGCGTGCATGTGGTTGGTGAGCTATGTGGCTCCCGGAGTGACTGGAACTCTTAACGACCCCGACAGGGCGCCGTATCAATGTTTGCACATAGTTAGCAGATAGAGCTCACGGATACCACCTCCTATTGTGGCTCGCGGCAATATTCGCAGCGAGTTGCGTGTCAGTTTCTGACGAAGGGCGGCCGAGAGTGTCCGGCAACTGCGCCGCCTAGTACGGATGTATAGAACTCCGTCGTGCGGATGTGGCTACCTAGAGGGTCGGAGTAACGGTCTATCCTGGCTTAACTACCCTCCCTACCTCTCATGACCCCTATGACACAGATAACGGGCTCTCTACGCCCTAAGCTAGAGAAAGGAAACTGAGCGCGAGAAGAGGTTTGCTGCTCCTGCACTCGATTGTCTAGCGAATGTCGGAGGCTTGCCTAGTCGTTCGACGCGCTCGCTTTCGAACCCCGGTTTACTCGGGTCCCTGTCTAGCGAGCCATGTATCACGTGGACCATGTACGGCTTAGGAGGTACTCCAGTCAGTGGGGTTGTACTGAAATGGTGTGCAGCTTCGCGGGTGTGCAACCTGATGACGCGAATGTACACAACCACAAGGTTGCTAGAGAGCCTTAAGGCTGGTATTGCGTTCTTCAAGGGAAAGTCTCCATGAGTGGCATCCCGGACGACGATTCTCCGCGAAACCATGGGTGGCCTAGCGACCGAGGTGATGAAGCAGGGTTCTATCTCCACAGGGACCCTGCCAGAAAAGGTACTCGATGACGCACCTTGGCATGCGAAGTCAGGTATTGCTGAGAGGAGTCAGCGCAGCACGATTCTTTGGTAAATGTAAAGAAGACAATTTGTCGTGTAGATTGCATTAATGCAACACTGGAGAGACCAGTCTCTTATACCAGTTCCAACGAGGAATGTGGAGCGAATGGCCACCATCCAAAAAAGACTGTAGACGGGATGGGGCTGGTACAGGAGCTGTTGAAAGTGGGACAGTGGGATCTCGACCTACACGCGCTGCAAGTAGTGTAAGAGGGTGGTTCTAATGCGCATGAATGGATTAACGAGAATCCCACTGAACCACAGCCAAGAGAATGAGTTTCGCAAAATAGCAGGGAAGAAGACCCTGTTGAAACTGACACTAGTTTGACAGAGTGAAGACAGAGAGAGGTGTAGCACAGGGAGATTTCGGTCGCCAATGAAGTACCACCACATTCATCGATTCTTTACATATTCGGTGAAAAGAGGATTGAGCTCCGGCTCTTTTTTCTTTGTCTTAAGCAAAGCCACCTGGTGGCATTACGACTCTGGCCGAAGACAATGTCAGGCCGGGAGTTTGGCCAGGGCGGTACATCTGTCAAACTGTAACGCAGGTTCCCTAGGGCTAGCTCAAAGAGAGCGGAAATCCCCATAGAGCAAAAGAGCAAAAGCTCGCTGATCTCGACTTTCAGTACAAGTACAGACCGCGAAAGCGTAGCCTATCGATTTTTCATGATTGCTCTAACTAACTCTTCAAAGGGAACCAAGGAGATCATGCCGGTTACTTATGTTGGCAGATCTTGAGATGCTGAACTCCTAATCATTGCCAATCTGGTCTCCTTCGGAACGATTGTGTTGTGAGCGCAGCGCCTTGCAGGCCCAGCTCGGATTCTTCGATTATGACTCATGTTTTGCTTTCAGGGCGTGGCGATGAAGCGAACAGTTTCTTCGGAAAGTCCACCTGCCTCTCGGACCTTCTGGAACTATCAATTCCATCTCTTGGGCGAAGCCCTGCTCTCATGAAGACTTGTGATCTCACCCACGTGGTGCTTGCTCTCCTCCTGTCTATATGCATATGTTCTTTCGCATATTTGTGCCATTTTATGATGACTTGCTCGGCGGACCTCCGTCGACCTCATGTTTCTTTGATGTCTCAGTAAATAATAAGTCTTTCCGAAGAAGGAGGAATTTAGCACCTTCCGCTGCGTGCGCTCGCTTACTGGTAGTAGCGAGGGGTAAACCACTACCTGCTACAGGACCTGCCCACAGCGAGTGGTTCACTCCTCGCTGTGGGCAAGTCCTGGAGCAGGTAAGTCCTTTGTGTGCTTGGCTCGACCGTGCCGAGGCAAGCTGACCTTTCGGCAGGAGAACGGCTAGCCCGCGCATGAAAAACTTCGTTCGCATGATCGACCCCAGACAAAGACGACCGTAATCAAACTAAAGTTTCTTTTTCGGTCAAAATTCTCTCATTTCCCAAAGTTCATAGCACTGTACTTTTCCACTCAAAAGCTCCGCGAACAAATTTTTCTGGTTATCTTGTACGGTAGTTTTTGTCTGTTAGTACATCGAAATTTCAAGCGCTTCCCTTCGACGCTTCCCTATGACGGGGTCTAAACCGTCAGGCAGGTACCTTGCAGATGCGAATTTGCCGAGCTCGAGAAATAGTATAAGGAAGTATTGCGTTCGTCCCGTTGATTTGCGTTCACTAGAAAGTTCCAGATGGGTGCACTCGGACATGAGTTGCCGTATTTGGGGCCGTCGCCGTATTTTCGTTGCGTTGGGACGTTCAATGCACAGAATTTTGCGGCGAGAGATGTTCACCGGTGAGCTGGATTTGAATGTGGTACCACGCTCGAGTGATTTGCGTACGCCTTCAAAATGAAGTCTTTACCTAGATTAAAAAAAACGAAAACCCTCGCTATCTGTGCTAGAAATTAAGGATTACCGCCCACATTGCCTTTTCTGCGTCTGTGAGAACTACTTTTAGCAATTTCCGTCCTCACTGGTTGATGCATGGCCCGACGGGCCCGTTTCCAAGTGCTCTTGTGGTTTTCCGTGGCCGCTGTGTCCTTTGGCCTTTGAGCTCTGAAATCAAAACCGCCTTTGATTGTGGTTTCTGGGGCCCCTCTTCCCCTATGCACAGACAACTGCCCGGCGCTCCACGGGAGTGCTGGAGGAGAGGTCGGACGCTTAAAAACCGGCCGTACCCGCACAGGATAGACGGCGATCTGCAAGCATTGGAAGCATCCCTGGGGTTTGGGAATTTTTTGTGCCGTGGAGGATCCGAACCCTTGCGACCCTCGCTTGGTTCGTGCGCGCGCCGACAGCTAGCACTGCCTCTGTACCATCCGACCGGTGACTACAGTACGGTGAGCCGACGGACTACCAAGTGATATCGGATTTTTAGTCGCCGTTCTATTGCATGTCCATTGGGTTATTCTAATCAGGTTCTATTCCTTCTTTTCTTTCGTTCGAGCTTCTCTTGTCCTTTAGTGGACGATGGTGGTTCACGCGCATATGTTTTTAGGCGATTACGTCCTTGGACATGCCTGGCGAGATGCAATGTGCAACGCGCACCAACACCTACAAACGCAATCGAGTGATAGTCCGTCAGAATTGGGTCAGTATATATGTAGTACTTGCATGGTGCTATAATGTAGCCACCTCCTAATGAGAATAACCGACTCGTCGCCACAGAGGTTGACTAGCTTTTCTACTCATAACTTTCATATTTTACGTCCCTTTCCCTTATCTTGCAGCATACACGCTTATTTTCTTTCCTCAGTGCAGAATTTGGATTGATCTTCGTTCCCCGCTTTTCTTTTCCCAGCCATTCCTGGGGCCGGGTGCAGCAAGCCCCAACGAGGGGAGGGATCCCCAACCTTGGGGATACATCCCCAACCTTGGGGTACATCCCCAACCTTGGGGATACATCCCCAACCTTGGAATATGTCCCCAAACCTTGGGGATATGTCCCCAAACCTTGGGAATATATCCCCAACCTTGGACATATCCCAACCTTGGCATAAATCCCCACCTGGATATATCCCCTACTTCGTCGCAAGAAAACAAATCGTTTTTTCGGTGGCTCCTGTGCACGCAACCGTGCGGGACTGTCACTGCGTCGACCCTCTGCGTCTCTGCAGGCAAGGGGATACATCCCGCCTTGCGAGACTAGGGGGATTCGTCCCCTCACTTGGCGATCGCGGAGAATTGAAGGCATTTCGGGTTTTCTCCCCTCTACTTCTCGCTTGTTATTCGCATTTCTTTTTTCGCCATTACCTTGTCTTTGTTGCATTCGCTGTTTTCTAAGCACATGTTCACAGTTTTAAAAATTATCGAATATTCAAATTTGCGAAAAGA